CATGTCAGTCTTATGCACACCCCTTCAAGTAAAGTGTTACCCACAGGTGATTCACTCTTGCTCTGAGTGTGTACTGGTCATGTGATCGGTGTGATGGTGGGCTCTCACCCTCTGCGGCGCGTCTCTCTGTGTGTCGCTCTTCTGCAGTCGCTCCTGTAGACACCTCTGGAAACACTGCAGCTCTGTGACCTCTGACCTCTGCAGGTGCAGATCAGGCATCAGAGACACACACACACGAGCGGCTCACTGCTCAGCACAGTCTCGTACAGCGCTCACCTCCGTCTCCTCGTCTGCAGGGGTCACGGCGAGGTCACTGGGGTCAGCGTCGTGCTGTTTGAGCTCACAGACGGCGTGTGGAAGAGCGAGACAGCGATCCAGACGACACGCAGCCTTCACACACTCCAGCTGCAGACGCAGACGCTGCTCACGCGAGAGAGAGCGCAGACACGCACACACACAGCTGACACACACACACACACACACACACGTCTCAGGTCACATGGTCAAATATATTTATTCTGCCTTCCTTAGATTCTACACAACATAACGACACTCAACGAGGACGACAGCAGATTCTGTATGCGTGCTAAACTAGACTGATTTAACACTCAGATGAACTAAACTTCATCACGTCCAGGGTTACTAGAGTAAACTAAAGCCATAAACTACTGTTTGTTATAAACCTTAACTGTAATAAAATAGTTATTTACCTACTTTCAACTTTACCTAATTTTACCTAATTTCATTAAGTCCATCTACTAAAATAACTAAAACTGAAATAAAAATGTATTAAAAATTCTATAGACATTAAAAGAAAAACTGACAAAATGACAAAAACACAACAAAATAACTTGTTTGAATGAAATTTAATCCTTAAAATTAAAACAGAAAGTAAAAAATAAATTCTAACTATTAATAAAAACTATAATAATCTCTCAATGAAACAAAATAAAACTGATCCCTAACCCTAAGATTTATACAACATTTCACTCCTAAAAACATGGTGAAAATGTGTTTGTTTTCCGTCTGTTGAGTGTTTTCTGATTTATGGAGCGATGAAAGAGAAATCCAGAATCCTCTCTGGAAAAACCTTCAACTCTAATATAAGAACAAAATCAGACCAGAATTATGAACCGGACTTTATCCAGTGATCAGATTTATGTGCTGGAACTGAATGCAAATCTGTGCATATTTAATTAGTTAATAATTAAATATGTTAATTAGTTAACAAAAAATGGTCTAAACGTACTGTGATTATTTAAATGGGGAAGTATGATATTGATTAGTTAAAAATATTTACCCTGTTCACCTTAAACTTTATGACTGTTTAAAAACGTCTGTGTTAATTGAATATGCACGTACACACCAAACCGCAGTCTGCAGAAACACAAAGACATTCACTACTGGATCTTTCTAGCTTGTTTGTGTGTTTAACTGTATGTTCTCAGTCTAGTTTTAGGACTCAGATGAAGGTCTGATCTCAACATCAATCAGAAACAGCAACAGCCTCAAGGCTTCACACACATTCTCATGCAGCATGTCACCTGCAGTATTCTCTGAAGGCGTCTCTGATGCTCCGCTGCTCCTGAAGCTCCTGCTGCTGCTGCTGTCGGATGCAGCTCTGAGCGGACCGCAGCTCGCGGGCCGCTGCTTTCCCCAGACGCTGCAGACGCTCCTGAATCTCCTCCGTCTGCGGCAGCAGCTGCGCAGATCCTGGACACCACGCAGACGCATGCGCCTTCAGCTCCGCTAGTGAACTCTGCAGCAAACACAGACTCATCTGCACACAGAAGCACAGGAGTTACACCACAGACACCAACAGACACGCCTGCAGCTCGCTCGTATCCCACAGTACCTTGCGTGTCCTGCCTGCCGTCTCTTCATCCAGGTGATTGATGAGTTCTGATAATTCATTGCTCTGGTACATCAGTATTTCTGTCCATCTCTGCAGGTACTGATCCACCGTGACGTCAGAAGAAGCACTCACAGCCTGCAGCTGATGCCAGTGTTCACACACCTGCTCCAGCGAGAATTACACTGATCACAGTCATAGACCCCCAAATCATCAACATGATCAAACTTCACTGTTAAACCGGTTTCTCACTCAATCTCATCATGTCTTCTGTCTCTGATTGACAGTTTAGAGTGTTTTATCCAGTCAAAGCTCTTTCAGTGTAACTATACAAACATCCAGCTTCAGCCGCTGCTTCAGTGTCTTTCTGCTCTCAAATCTAGACTGATTTTGATCAAGTAAGCGTCAGAATAACTGCAGTAATATCTCCAGATGAACACTTACTGCACTGAAGCAGCTCAGCTTTACTTGATTCTCCATCAATCATGTTTTAGAGTCTCAAATCTGTTCCTCAGGATCTTTTGAGGAGCGTTTATTTCTTCAGCTCTCAATCACTGCATTATATGTGTGGAGCATTTCACTCTCATCTCACCGAGACAGATTACTGGAGATATAGAGCGATGGCTGATATTTATATCAGTTTATGTCAATATCTGCTGTACTGTTATAAAGATCTCACTGACTTGCATTACAAGCAGCAGAATTCCATCCAACTGCATCAAATAGCATTTTCTTGCTCAATTGGAGGTGTGTTTTTCATCATATTCTCACTATATCATGCTTTATGAGACTCTTATTTAATGTCAGACTTTACAGGTTTATACCTGAACACAGCTCAAAAACACACACACACACCTTCTCAGACAGCAGCTGCCGTCTCTTCTTGATGATGGCACAGCGGATGGCGCTGCGCTCACGACTCACGCTCTCTTCTAAATTCAGTTTGACCCGCAGAATCTCCAAATGAACATCAGAACACTGTTGGGAGAAACCACACTCCCTATAGACACACACACACACACACAATAAATATCTGTTCTAAAAGAAAGAAAAATATGTATAGCGAGACACGAGTGATGAGAGTACAGTAATATTGTAGATCACATGAAGTTCAGAATTTACTATGCTGCAGTACAGCACAGCTAATGTGTGATGAAGTATGTAGTATGTGATGGTGTGGTATGTACCCCGCGGGAGTACCGCCGGACTCGCGGGACCCAACGCAACAGGGTGCGGCGCAGGACAGCTCTTGATGTGTGTGTGTGTGTTGGTGAGGTATGGTGTGTGTGTGTGACGGTGAGGTATGTAGTGTGTGTGTTATGGTGAGGTATGTAGTGTGTGTGTGAGACGGTGAGGTATGTAGTGTGTGTGTGTGTGACGGTGAGGTATGT